GGAGGTAGTGGAGGAAACTCTGGAGGAAGTGGAGGTAGTGGCGGTAGTGGAGGAAACTCTGGAGGAAGTGGAGGAAACTCTGGAGGAAGTGGAGGAAACTCTGGAGGAAGTGGAGGAAACTCTGGAGGAAGTGGAGGAAACTCTGGAGGAAGTGGAGGAAATGGAGGTGGAGGAGGAAGCTCTGGAGGAAGTGGAGGTGGAGGAGGAAACTCTGGAGGAAGTGGAGGTAGTGGAGGAAACTCTGGAGGAAGTGGAGGTAGTGGCGGTAGTGGAGGAAACTCTGGAGGAAGTGGAGGAAACTCTGGAGGAAGTGGAGGGAGTGGAGGAAACTCTGGAGGGAACGGAGGCAGTGGAGGCAGCTCTGGAGGAAGTGGAGGCGGAGGAGGAAGTTCTGGAGGAAATGGAGGAGGCGGAGGTGGTGGAGGAAACTCTGGAGGAAGTGGAGGGAGTGGAGGGAACTCTGGAGGGAACGGAGGCAGTGGAGGCAGCTCTGGAGGAAGTGGAGGTGGAGGAGGAAGCTCTGGAGGAAATGGAATAGGCGGAGGTGGTGGAGGAAACTCTGGAGGAAGTGGAGGTAGTGGAGGCAGCTCTGGAGGAAGTGGAGGCGGAGGAGGAAGCTCTGGAGGAAGTGGCGGTAGTGGAGGAAACTCTGGAGGGAACGGAGGCAGCCCTGGGGGAAGTGGAAATGGCGGAGGCAACTCTGGAGGTGCTAGAATCCACTTTAGAAGCGAAGAGATGCACGAGGGCGATCAAGAGGTTTCTGTCCCGTGGTACTTCTGGTTCTGATACCCTATTCCCATTTTTCTTTTGGGAAGACTTGATTGTTTTGCTGACGTGGAAGTTTCAGTCTCATATGAGAAGTCGAACTCCATGTAACCATTTTTTTTTTGGAATTTGCTACCAAACGGTTTCCTGATGAGTTGTTTAATCTGAGAAGGGAGTTGCCATGAATTTGTTTGCCTTTATGCTGTCGATCTGCAAGCAGATGTAATGCATTAGTTTAGAAAATGTTAATAATATATTTTTCAATTCGGAATATATCTGAATCATGAATTTAAAAATAAAGAAACTTCGCTGGTCACCAAAGACGTCTTCCCATGCGTAAATGTAAGAATGGTGTAAGACAATTGGAAGTGCCTCAACCCGGAAACTTTATGAGCGCCCCCAGGGCAAAAAAAAAATGCAAAAAATCCGAATCTCAATCTTGAATTTCAATTGCAACAGGTTCGAGCACGACCTCTAGGACGACGACAACCTTCACCACCGCCCAAACAACCACCCCCATCCCAACAACCACCACCACCCAAACTACCTCCGGCACAATAACCACCGCCATCCCAACAACCGCCACCAGCCAAATAACTACCACAACCCCGACAAACTCCACCAGCCCAACTACAGCTACCACCCTCACGACTTCGACCACAATCACCACCACCACCCGCACATCCTTTTCCACGACACCCACGATAACGACTACACCCATGACCGACACCTCCTCCTCACGACGTCCAATACAAGATGGGAGTGGAAATGAAGGAGGGGGAAGAGATTGGTTCCGAAGATTTCACAGGTGGAACTGGGGAAACAACAGCAACAATTGGACCGGTGACGGCATTGGAGGGAATGGATGGGGTGGTAGGGGGGGAGGTCGTGGAGGCAACAGGACTTGGTATGGCGACGACCGTAATCAAGGAGGAAGAGGAGGAATTTCAGGTGAGTGTCCGCGCCGGCTTAGAGGGCGAAGATGGGGTGCATAGAATACCAAGTATAAATACTTGGTATTCTATGCACCTATACAAAGTGGAATTTATTGCAGAAGTTTTTTTTTAAACAGATTCGAGTGAAGAGGCTCCGAACAATGGCAATTTTGGAGGCCGAGGTGGCAAGAATGGAGGCCGAAGAGTCAACTTCGGCGGAAGAGGAGGCAACTTTGGAGGTGGCAGCCACTCCCGGGACGATGTGGGTCGTAGGAACTGGGGTCGTGGAAGATCGCAATTCCAAGGAGGCTCATCATCCTCTTCGTCATCCTCATCGTCGTCCTCGTCTGAAGAGAGCAACGAGTCGAGGGAGGTGACGAGGGACAAATCACGGCCGTGCGGGAACAGCGTCGAGGCAAAAGTATGGTGGAAGATATGGAACTGCTAAATCCACGCTCCCAATTCTCTTCCGACACACAACCTCCCATATCCGGCCTGGGAAGCCCATTTCGCACCACCCAAGCACCTCATCTCCAGCAGGAGATACAGCTGCCCTCTCTATATTTCCCATGCTGTATTTTGTTGGATTCGAGTATTACAGAGTTTCGGTCGGTGAAATCGTTTCCGTTTTATCAGGGATGTCGGGGTGGCGACAGTGCCACATGGCATTTGGAGTCAAGAGTCGAGCGAGTCCCGTAACCCTGAGAACGTTCTCACGAGATGCGACACGTGCAAAATCGTCGAAGGAAATGAATTTCGGCTCTGGAAGAGTACCGGAACGAAACGCGCTACCACGGTTGTCAAATTTTGCTCCCTCTGCGGACGATTTCCCATCACATCCCAAGCACATGTTCGAGTCTGGTCTATACGCGAGAGTTTTCTTTCATGGTTCCTTTCGACGTTGGCGAAAATCGTGTGCCTGTGTGGTTCACTCCATGGGCAAAATCAACATTTATCATATCAAGAAATATATATATCAAGAAAACAAACCGTAAAAAGCACCAGCTATCGAGAACGGAATTTTTAAACGGCACGAGCTGACAAGCACGATCTGAGCAATCGGCAGAATCATGCTTATCAGCGACAACAATAGGAATTCCGTTGGAACGTGCATAGATTAATTCGAGCTGCAATAACGTTTTAAATCACAGGGTTGCGACCCGACACGAAACACGCCACATCCGGCATCCGTGGCGCTTCTCGGAAAACGCGCGGGATCCCCCACTCGAAATTCCAGGAGAAGCAGCCCGTAAAAGTGAAGGAATGCGAGTGGGGCTCCGAAAATTCCTGTGCGCAACCGCCTCGCTTTCCCGGTCAGAGGAATGAAACCCACACAGGTTAATTTTCACCTTCGAATCGATAGGCCTACTTTCCCCCTATGGAGGCCTCACTTCACTTAACGTTAGAATTTCTACGAAATCCGAGAAGTAGGCTAACACTGACCCGATAGACGAGGTGGAAGCTGCAAGCTGCTCGGTCCGGCTCTCTTCGCATTCACGGCACCGCATGGAGTGAGAGAGGTTTTGCAATCGCGATGAGGGGAGATCCGTTTAGCTGTCCTTGGTCTCTGCCCCTTGGGGCCATCCTCCAAGGTCCCTGCGAGATTCGGAATGTTTCGCCTCAGCTCCTGACATCTAGCGGCAGGTCGCGTGGATCGGTAGTTGAGGTGCGTTTCGAGAGATGTCAGGTCCGGCTCGCAACTCCAATGGCGAATTCCCCGTTTCATTCGGGGTGTGAAAAAGAAGCTGTCAAGGTCGCGTGAGAGCCTGGCAACAGGCGAAAGTGCGCGTAAATGACAAATTGCCGCCGTCGTCGACAGATGCCAGGAGACGCGTGCTCCCGCTTTCGTCGTCGACTCGTCGAGGCGGGGGAGTCGGTGATCAAATGTGGGGAATTGCCTGACCCGAACTGCGGGGGGATTGCCATCAGTTCGTGCGATTGATCGCTGCACCCCCATCGTCCATCGAGCCCCGATTAAATCCGGGCAATGTCCTTCGTTCACGTCATAACTTAAACATGCACGGCCGATCTCTTAACTAATCTCGCTCATCGCCACGCATTCATCGACCCTCGGCTCCCCTCAGCCAACACGACGCCCCTCGGAAGGAAAGGAACCGGGGAACGCGGCAACCGCGGAGAAGGGGCGGAGCCAGAGAAGCCACCAACGTTGTAACGCCGAGGACGCATGGAGCCCATTCCGCGCGCAAGTTTGTAATCGCTCCTCCACGTGAAGACAGCCGATCAGCCGCGTGTAGAGGCCTGCACGGACGGGCGATCAACTGGTCGTAGAGGCCTGCACGGACGGACGATCAACCGAGCGTAGAGGCCTGCACGGGAATTCCCGATTCCAATCCTTTCCAGCTGCGAAACGCTCCGCCCGATCATCGAAATATCGGTTCGGTGCAGGCCTCTAGCACAATACGGGGAGAGAAAGAATTCATTCCAAGGTCGAAGCAGTACTGTAATCGGTACTCCCCTGTCCCCCTCGTCGAAACCAAACAAAGGCCGCCCTCCCCCTCAAGGACACTGTCTGTCTGGAACCTTTTTTTTCTCCCTTATTGCTCGAATTCTCTCACCTTCAGCTGAGAAAAAACGAAGAAAAGTGGGAAATTTTCATAATTAAAAAAATAATAAATCAATTAATTTTTAAATGCCTTCTGCGGTATACAGCCAATATCAAAACGAAATTAAATTCGTTCCTCACTCTTAGATTTAACTCGAATCAGCTTGAGAGCGTGTCAGTGTTGCCAGATGGAAGCAGGGCTGCCAGACATCCCGAGTCGGGAGTTTCGCACCGTCTGCAGCCGACGAATAAAAGCGTCTTTTGTTTCTCTTCCGGGGACAAAGGTGCCGAGAAAAGGGCAAAGCCGTAATGGGCAAAGCCATAAGGGGCAAACCCGTTCCAATTTTCTTTTAACCGCCAGCTTAACCCTCCGGTTTCGAAGCCCCTTCAGACAGTGTGTTACGAGATTTTTTTTTCGTTGCCAATCATTCTGATATGCGCTCGTTGATGTATATAGAAATGTGTTTATATATATGTGTATATGTATATGGTATTAATAAAAAATTTAATTAATATGTATACTTCACTGCACACTTCCTGTCATCACGTTCTGCATGACAACCATCAACACACTTGGAGGCAAAAGGGAATGAAAATGGGGCACTCCCCCTCGTACCCCCCTATGGCCCCCTTTGCCCCCCCCCCCCCCCCCCCCCCCAC